CCTTCCTTCCTTCCTTCCTTCCTTCCTTCCTTCCTTCCTTCCTTCCTCCCACAGACGTTATGGGCCATGTTTCTTATTTCCCAGTGCTCACACTCTAACCTGTTATGAATCTGCTATTTATTTATTTATTTATTTAATCAATTTGTATAGCCACCCATCTCAACACGTGACTCTGGGCAGCAAACAGTATCAAGTCAAAATAATTGCCCCATAAATACAAAAATCAAAATGCACAGCAGCTGAGAAAAACACCACAATCAACAATGCCAATATGCTGGAGGATGCAACATCAACAGCTACTGAGACTTGGAAACTAAATCTTGACCTCTCACTGTTGTGGCAGTAATTGGGGGGAAGGGGAGCAGCTCTACTACTTTATTACTAGTAGGAGTGGTACAGAACAGCTATGACAAACCAAATACAAAAACATCCTCACTTAGGATGACAAACCAGGCTGACTAATCTAGAAACTTGGTTTTTACTGTGAATCCAACATTGGTTTATAATAGGCAGCAGATAAGCTGAAGGGGAGAATTATATTGGGGGCCCAGTGAACAGCCTCTTCGCCCTGATAGCTCAGGGGTGGGCAACTTGTGGACTTAAGCCTTCTTAGAGCCTCCTCGGACCAGGACTGCTGAAATTGGAGACAATTTTCCTGCCATTTTTCTTCTGGTGGGAGACGAAAACTGCAATGTTTGTTCTAAAGTAGAACTGATCTAACTTTCCTTCCTAAAAGCTAAACCCATCCCCTTTGCAGCCCTCAGCCTCTCCCCCCCCATTTGAAGCATGGCTGCTAATAGGTTGTGCGTTTCTGGAATGAACCTAATTTCTTCTAAATGGATGGGTTCAGAAAGCACTTGGGCAGAAACCTTCCCTTTCATTTGAGCCTTTCACCTAGAGATTTAGGGGATCCAGGGGGGATAAGATCCTGAAATGTAGGAGGAGGTGGTGCTGCTTACCTGTATTGGGGACCTAACCCTTGAGGTAGCTACAACCACATTTCCTAGCAATGCAGTCCTTCTACATGGCCTCAAGATTTCTACAAGTTAAACAATGAGAACATCTCCTACATTGTGACAGCAAAGAGGGAGGCGTACATCTGGCTGAATTTTTACTTAAGCTTGCTTGCATTGATAGCAATAAAAATAGAAGCAAATGATGTGCTCCTTGGCTGAGAATCAGGGTTTTTTGTCCAGTCTGACACTTAGTTTGACCGAGGTACATAGCTCCTAAACCTTGTAACACGGCCTTTGCATTAGAAAAAGACATATGACAAGAGTGCTATTTCTGCACCACTGAAGCATCACAACCAATCCCAGCAAATCCAGGCTGGGAAGTCCGATCTGGCCAGTGGGCTGGAGCACCACATCTCTTAGGCCAGTGATGAGTCTTTACCCTCCATAGAACGTACATCACAGCCCCCAAAAATGGCCCTGTCTCAACTTTTCTAAGTTGTTAAATGTAGTGGGCAAAAGAGGATTTAGACAAACCACCATGCATATTGGGTTTGATGTTAACAGCTTTAATTTAAAAAAAAAAGGGGGGGGAAAGTCAGTAAACAAGTCATTGGCTCCTGCAGATGTGTGGTTTGGTGCCTCCAGTGTTCTCACACATAATCTAGACTTAATCCTGTAGCCCAGCATGAGACGGGTGGGGACTCATTCCCCCCACATTAATTTGAGACCAAAGCTTGCAGTTAAAGTGCTTATTCCTTTGGAAAACGGTCCACGGGCAGAAGTAAAGCAACACCATTTCCATCAGTCTCATCCAAGTAATTACACAATTTCTGGGGAGAAATGGCAAGAGGGCATTAACTACTTTTCAACCCTTCTTTTTTCTGTCACTTTTCCGAGATGTGGAACAGTACCACCTAAGGCCATGCAGCACTTTAGATTAAGTTCCAAGAACTTGCTTTGGGGGGCAGAGCGAGGCCAATGTTGCGCCTGTTAGAACTTAAGGCATCCATGACTTATTCTGGGCTCAAAGGGTAGCTGCAGAAACAGTCCCGTGGGGAAAAAATATCACTGCTTGAAGGAGCTGCAGATAAGGGTTCATTCACATCCCTGCGTGCTCCAAAGGACCTCTTGGGAATCAAATCCAAACCCCAATCAGCTTGAATCTCAACATGCATTTCTCAAGCGTATTCAGAACCTGAAGTTAGCAAAATACCAACTGGGGGTTGTGGGGGTTGTAATTCTGACGCTAGCGTGATTGATTGACTGACTGATCAGAAGCTCGTGTATGTTCTTCCCAGCCAAGGAATTCTCCTGGCTCCAGTCTGTAACCTGAGAATTCCCCAAGCTTTGAAATAAAAAGGGGGGGGGGGGATACAAAAGGCACAAGGAGGAAAGTAGAATGCTTGATACCAGTTGAAAGAAATTTAATTCCATCTCTTGACAGGAATAAGATGCTAGTTCCAGCCAACTTTTCAGAGAGGTTTAAGAATAGATTACAAAAATTGATCAGCCACATCAACTTCCACGCTAGCAAAGGTTGTTCATCAAGATGTTTCTGGCAATATTTTGAAATGGCCGATGGAGCTCTGCTCTTATGCTACAGTGCCCTCCTGTGGTGCCTTTTCCAATCAGACTCCATCCGTCAATTCCAACTGATTAACTTCAACCAACTTGGGAATTTTCCCAGTTCTAACATATCCAGTCATTATTACCACCAGCCTGTCGCTACTTAAAAAAAGAGAAAAAATCACAACCAAAAAGAACAGATGAGACCTGCCAACATCACATGGTTGTGTACATTGTTTTAATGCCACCCCAAGTCACTCAAACCACTCTGGTTTTAATCTGGCAGGTTAGTGGTTGCTGATTCCAGTCCTTGGCAACCTGAATTCTGATGATATTTGCGCTGTAACCCTAATGCTCTGGTCACCAGCCTTCTGGCTACTGCTGTATCTGTCTGGGGTCTTTCTTTAGCCAGCTGAAGGAGCTCTGAGGAAGAAAAAAAGAGAGGAAAAAAATGGCAGAGAAGAAATACAGGACTTGGAAAGGAGCTGGAGAAGGCGCCTTAAGGAGTCTGGCCAAGTGGGCTTGAAGCCACAAATAATTTTATTCCACCACATAGATCAGGTCTAATCTAGACATACAGAGGACTTTGCTGTTAGAACATCTGTCCCAATAAAGGGGAGGGATGACAGTTTTAGTACTTTTTCCTGTAACACACTAAGCCAGTGTTTCTCAACCTTGGCAACTTCCAGATGTGTGGACTTCAACTCCCAGAATTCCCCAGCCAACTATGCTGAGAGTTGAAGTCCACACATCTGGAAGTTGCCAAGGTTGAGAAACACTGCACTAAGCTCAGGTAGTAGCAGCTAGCCAACTTTGGCCAATCTTGAAAGAAGCCAAGCAGGATTTGACTCGGTTGATACTTGAATGGGAGACCATGAATAAATCCCAGAGCTCTAGACCAGACTGCAAAGTCAAAAAAACATCCCTGAAGGAGGCAGTACCAAACCAAGTCCATATTGCAGCCAACAAAACTACATCGGTATGCTCATGGAGTGACAAGGAGTCAGGTTTTAAGGGAGTCTTTACTACTATATAACACAGAGAAACCTTATGTAATGGACAGAAGGAGCAACCTTGAGGAACGGGAGGATAAGTCACTATGAAGACAACAGTCAGATAAAAGAAATCTGATTCTAGGCCAAAAATGTAACCTGAGAAAGCTTCTTAGACAGGACCCTCCCTAGTTCTCACGAAGATAAAGAACTAGAAATTGGTTTCCTAGTCTGGTCTACCTTGGAGAGCTAATACCTTATCACTCAATTCCCTTCCTTCCAAGAGCCTGAGTCATTTCAGGTGCAATGTTGATATCATTACTTCTGTTACACGAACAAGCACAGTGAACCTTGGGTTCATATACTTCCTCTATCTCCTGGCAGTTCTAAAAAAAATTAACCATGCACTTTTCAGCAAACTACAGTTTACTATTATACTCAACTCAAGGAACTGTGGCTTGTTTAAGTTCAGTTGTAACTAACCAAATTAGAACAAGACTCAAATTTAATCCTTGTTTGGTCACTAATCACACTTCAGCAAGTCACAGTTTATCATATCTTCTGATTATTATATTTATCAATAAATATGTACCAAAAAAAAAGAAGTCACAGTTCTCCAAGTCTTGATAGTAAACTGCAGTCCTTCTTCCAGACACTAGTTTCAAAAGGAAGAGCTATGACATTCAAGGCTTTAACACAGCTCAGGAAAGTCTGTTTACAGCAGTATTTCTCAACCTTGGGGCCAACCCCCTACCGCTCATGAACT